TATGATTATATAATTTTGAGGTTTTGTGCTTGAGAAGTAGTGGAGCAGGGAGGGATATTAATGCCATTAATAAGAGAAGAAACACAGAAGAGGAGCTAACTTTGAGACTGAATTTAAGACATTTTGCAGACCATGCAGACTATCCATGATCATCATGCAGCTGACCTGCACATCTAAGATCAAGAGGAATGTCGGGGGTGCAAATACATAGGTAAAAGAAGCTGGGGCTTGGAAGAGAGAAAGAGACATAGAATATGAAGAACAAGAGAGCCACACACTGAACTTTGGGCACAATATTTAAAGGGAGGGTTGAGAAAAGCAAGCCAATGAGAGCCTAAGATTCTACATAGGTTCAGGGGGGAAAGAAGATGGTGAATAGTGTCAAATGCTGTATAGAGGTTAAGTAGCAAGAACAGTGAGAGGCCACTGGATTAGTCATCAGTGGGTGATTTGTATTCTTTGAGAGAGCAGTCTCAATGGGTGGGAAGTAGATCTTAGGATCACTCAGGAGCAGGTAGAGGGTTGTCACTGGCAGAGAGAATTCTTGGGGCAGGAATGTGACAAGAGAGACATATGAACCTTTGTATGGAGAAAATGGAGTAGAATTGGGAAGAGTGTCAGAAGAAGGCAGTTCCTCAAAGCAGCCTGAGTAATGGGAAATAAGGCTGTTGCATGGACATTAATGGGTTCAGCGGTGGTGGGGGAGGGTGTATGCCTCCAACTTGAGGGCTGCCCTACCCCCACTGGGTGCTGTCCTACTGAATGGTTCCAAAGAGTAGTAGTAATTGTAGAAGTAGTAGAATTGTAGGGCTGTAGAAACCATTCAGATGAACGTAGGTTATGAAGAAAGAACCTTACATTGTTCAGGACAATTCACAAAAGAGAAATCAGCTTCCTTACTGATCCATAACATAACATAGCAATCAAATTTCTCTCTAGTAGTTAACAATCCCACCATAACACACTTGCTCTCTCCTGCTTCTCTTCAAGGAAAGATGCTCCAGATACTTGCACTATATCCCCCCCCCCTTTTTAGAAGTATAATGTAAAAGAACTGAAAGGAAGCAAAGGTAACTTAGAACTCCTAAATTTCACAAGTTATTCAAAACAGCACTGGTAATAGCAAGCCTATTTATGAAGCAGTAAGATATATTCTGCTTGTACTGCTTAGGCTCAGTATCCTCTGCAACATGTCCAGGACTTGGCCTCTATGTGGCTCCTGTCTGGACCTGACAAGGAACTAGATATGGTTGCTAGACAATTGTTTTCTGAATTCTGGTTAGTTTGAGATCAATGAGCAACTTGCCTTTTTCAACTGGGATAGAGTTGCTGGGTGGGTGTCAGGGGAGAGAGTTGCTATAAACTTTGTTTCATTTTGTTTTATATTATTTTTTTTTCTAATTGTAGAACTTGTATGGTAATGAAGAATTACTACTAGAGAGAGATAGATAAGATAGGGAAACCTTGGATCCTGGATAGGATTTCTGGCAATGTCTTTTCTCTGCCTCAGTTATATACCCTATGCTACCTTAAATCAGAGGCTGGGTTGGTAGGGTGGAAAGAGAAAAAACACACACTATTGATTTTACTTCCATTTTCTAAGCCACACTTTGGGATAAACTATTCATCTTTCCATCATCATCAACTATTTATTTTGAGCATTTACCAAAAGGCAAAAAAAAAAAAAAAGAAAGAAAGAAAGAAAGAAAGGAAAAAATCTCAGTAACTCTCTTAGAACTTTCCCTAGGTGATGCAGAGTCAGGAACAATCACATAGTTATGGCAGCTTCCTTCTCTCAATCTTTTTATATAGGTGAAGTCAAAGTACATTGAGCATCAAGTGAAAAAATGTATAAAAAATATGCAAGTTTGCAAGGTGTATTTGAGTGAAAAAAGGCAGACCTGTTTGTTTTGCCTAGAGAACTAGGGGTAGGAAGGCAGGAAAAGAAAAAACTAAGTGGGGTTAAAACCTGATTTTGTGTATGAATCTTAGGTCTTTTTGTACTAGCTTGTAAAGAAACTGTCTTCTCCCCTACTAACTACTTCCCTGGGTCTCTGTAGACCTGCAATCAAGAAAGTATCTGTTGAAAACTCAAGTTTGACCCTGCAAAGTGCCATAATCCAGAAAGAACTCTGTAATTATCATCGTCTCTACTTTTTCTCCTCCTATTCGCTCACAGCAATATCAGGTTTTGTCCCTGCTTCTCTGATAAAACTGTCCTCGAAAGGTAAAAATTCCCCAGCTATTAAATCCAGTGGTCACTTGTTGGACCTTACCTCACTCCTGCACTCTCTCTGGCATTTGGTATTATTGGACATGCCCATCTTCTCAGCACACTCTCCCTTTGGACTCTTATGTCACTATTCTCTCTAGCCTTACTATCCATCTACTCCTCTCAGTTCCGAATGCTATTGCTATAGTTGAGTCCTCATTGTGGCATCTCACTGTGGTTTTGATTAGCATTTTCTTTTTTTAAAAAAAGATTTTATTTTATTTATTTGAGAGAGAGAGAGTGAGAGAGAGAGCACAAGAGGGGGTAGGGTCAGAGGGAGAAGCAGACTCCCCGCCGAGCAGGGAGCCCAATGTGGGACTCGATCCCAGGACCTCGGGATCATGACCTGAGCCGAAGGCCATTGCTTAACCAACTGAGCCACTCAGGCACCCTGATTAGCATTTTCTTAATGGTCAGTGATGTTTAATAGATTTTCATGTATTTGGTGGTCATTTTTATATAATTTCTGGAGTAACATTTATCCAATTCCACAGGTACATATTCAAGAGAAATGAAAGCATATGTCCAAACAGAAAACCTGTACCCAAATGTTTATTGCCCATTTAAAAAACTGAGTTGTCATTTTGCTGATGAGAAGTAAAAGTTGTTTTTACACTCTGAATACTAAATCTTATTGGATATATGATTTGCAAAAATTTTCTGTTTTGTGGATTGTCTTTTCAGTTTCTTGATGATGTCCTCTGAAGCATAAAAGTGCTTAATATTGATGATGCCCAGTTTATCTGTTTGTTCTTTTCTTGTACTTTTGGTGGCATATTTAAGAAATCATTTGCCTAATCCAAGGTCACAAAGATTTATGCCTGTTTTCTTCTAAGAGATTTAAAAGTTTAGCTATTATATTTAGGTCTTTGACCCATTTTATATTAATTTTTGTGTATGGTATGAGGTAGGTATCCAAATTCATTTTTTTTTTTTTTTTTGTGCATGTGGCTCTGCAGTCTTCCCCGTCATCTTTTGAAGAGATTATTCTTTCCCCTCTCAACTGAGATGCCTTGGCATCTTTGCCAAAAATCAATTGACCATATGAATGTGAGGATTTATTTCTGAACTCTGTGATATTCCATTGATCTATATGTCTGTCCTCATGCCAGTACCATGCTGTCTTGATTACTGTAGCTTTGTAATAAATATTGAAATTGGGAAGTGTGAGTCCTCCAAATTTGTTCTTTTTGTTTAAAAATGTTCATTTCTGTATTAATTTTCAGATCATTTTCTTAATTTCTGCAAAGAAATCAGCTGGAATTTTGTATTGAACCAGTAGATGAATTTGGAGTATTGCTGTCTTAACATTAAGGTTTCCAATCCATGAATATGATACATATTTTCATTTATTGTGGTTTTCTTTAATTTCTTTCCACAATTATTTGTAGTTTTCAGAGTATGAGCTTTGCACTTTTGTCAAATTTATTCCTAAGTTCTCTATTCTTTTTCATGCTATTCTAAATGGAAACTTTGATTTCATTTTTTTGTTTGTTCACTGTGACTGTAAAGAAATATAGTTGATTTTTGTATATCGACCTTTTATTCTGCAGCCTTGCTGAACTCATTTCTTAGTTCTAATAGTTTTTTTGTGGATACCTTAGGGTTTTCTATACATAAAATTATGTCTTTAATTAATACAGATAGTTTTACTTCTTCCTTACCAATCTTGATATCTTTTATTTCTTATTTTTATCTAATTGCCTTGGCTAAGCCCTCCTGTACAATGTTGAAATGCATGAATAGAAATGGTGAGAGTGTCTTGTTCCTGACTTTGGGGGGAAAGCATTCAGGTTTTCACCATTAAATACATTAGGTGTGGATTTTTTTTTTTAAGTATAGTTGACACACAGTGTTACATTAGTTTCAGGTGTACAACTAAGTGATTTGACAGGTTTATATATTATGCTATGTCCACCACAAGTATAGGTAGAGGTGTGAGTTTTGTGAGTGTTTATCAGAAACACTCTAATTTGTTGAGTGTTTTATTAGAAAGGGGTGTTGAATTCTGTCAAATGTCTTTCCTGTATCAATTGAGATGATCGTGTGGTCTCTTTTATTCTACTGATGTGGGAAGTTACATTGATTAATGTTCAGATATTATACCAACCTTGCATTCCTGGGTTAAATGTAAATAAATATTTCTTAGATTGAATTCATAATGAGTAAATTATTTGAGGATTGGGTAAAAATTAATTCAATAAATGGCCAGAGAAACAAGACTGGAAAATAATTTCCATATTAAGATAATAACTAGTTAGGAATCATGGAAACTTGGAAGTACAATTGTTATTGTGAAAAGATTAAAAGAAGATTGTAAGAATATAAATTAATGCGCTTTACCATTCTTTGAATCCTCTACTTTTCCTTTAAAGTCTGGAATTAGATCTTCATAATATTCTGGATTTAACAAAATTTAACAACCTGTCTCAAATATCCCTACTCTATAAAAATTACTGTAATGCTTTCGTCATAGATTTGCTCCATCTTTTCTATTTTTATCTCCCTCCCTCCCTCTCTTTATCTCACTCTCATACACATATCCTTTCCAAGTATTGTCCTAAATAAGAGTATCATTGATATCTATCCTTCTTGGATATTTTTAAGTACTTACACGAAAATGGTATCAATTGGGAGTATAGTGATATTTCTGATCTTCTAATCAGCTTCCACCCTTACTGCTGTTAAAAAGACCCTCATAGACAACCATAAGGACAGAAAAACTTACTTTTAATTATGACCCCAAGAATGATCAATATCTCAATTAACAGGGACAAGGGCTTCATCTTCTCCTAAGCAGCTCCTCCTCACTATAACACAGGCAGAACTAAGTGGCTGACCCACAGGCTTTCTCTTTTCAGGTCTGTTGGTGGGGGGGGGGGTGTCAAGATTTGGTTGCTAAGCAACCATTTCCTCACTCTTGGGCCAATGAGCTGCCAGGAAATTCCTTTCAACTGGAATGAAGGCAGTTCCTGAAGAAATCAGACTATGGGGAGGGAGCCAAATCTAGTCTGCTACTCTGGTAGGAGATAAGGGGTAGGTTTGAGATAGGTAAGAGGCAACTCTTACCTTTCTTAGGAAAGGAAGAAACCAGAAGTCCAATTTGTACATGTCCACAATAATGTGCAAATAATATTTAGAGTTGCTAGAAGTTCTTATTCTTATTTTACCTTCAGCAGTGCAAGCTGCACTTAAATGAAAACACAATTAAGTATATGAGCCGACCTGACAGCATCCTGTACTCTAACATCTAAAGGCTATGGTGGACAAGAAACATATAGACCAAGTCTGCTTTGGTCCCCATCTGGGTGAAAATGTTTATCTTCTGTTTGAGTAAGAAACTGTTGACATTTTACTGGGACAAAGGCAAAAAGTCCCAGTGATCAATGACTTTTTTTTTTTTTTTGGTCAATGACTTTTTAAAAAAGGTATTTCATTACACTTTCATTAAAAGGTATTTAAAAACACCTTCGCTATCTTTAACAATATGGGCATTTCATAAGTGGGTACCCTCAAGGTTAGGGCCAGAAATGAAAATTAATATTTAGGTAAAAGCATGGCAATATTAAGACTATCTAAGGAATGGAGCTAGCTGAGAAAATGATGCTGAATATATGTTAAGCTTTTAGTTTTACGGGTAATTACTTCAGAAAGAAACATATTTATTGCTTTGAATTTCCAGGTTTACTCCCTTTATTAAGTAGTTTCCCAATGCTTTAATCTTTGTTTTCTTCTTATAGGGACACTTGTGATTACGTTAAGGGCCAACCATGATGATACAGGATAATCTTCCCATCTCAAGATTCTCAGTCATATCTGCAAAGTCCCTTCTGCCAAATGAGGTAACATTCATAGGTTCCAGAGATTAGCTCCTGGAAATCTTTGGGACCATTATTCAGAATAGTCCTTAGTACATTTTCCTTTCATCAAGGGAGTTCAAATGGGATTTTCCTAACTTCTGTACTTTTAAAAAAATACCTAAATTGATTTAAACTCTTAAATATCATCTGTTAAGCCTTCTCCAAATAATCTTTTTTTTTTTTCATTCCCCATTTGGATCTAGATTTATTAGCATCTTTCAGCAGATGATTTTTCTTCCTACTTTTACTGAAACTGAGCTCACCGGACTTGTCTTCCCTCTACTTTCTTTTTATTTAAAAATTTTTTGAATCTCCATTCATCACAAAAGATGAAATGCCCTTTCTATATTCTACTTTTGATTCTATCTACATTTACTTTATCTTTTTCTGGTATTTCTGTCTAACATTTGTCCTTCTTTTCTCTCTCTCTCTCTTTTTTTTTTTTTGTTTCAATCTTTTGTCACCAGCCTTCTTAATTTAAACACTTTTCATTTCATGTCTCAGAAAAATTTTACCTTGGCTTTGGTATCCTTTCAACTTCTATCTCCTCTAATTATTCTTTAGCCTCTAAACATGTCAAAAAATATTTCACAATCACTACTTCTTGTTTCTCTCACTTCTTCAATTGTTTTTATTTTCACTGATTCACATAGACTATAAATCCAATGGTTTTTTCTCAGTTCTCATCCTACTTGATCTCTGTGAGATATCTGACATTTCTGACCACAAACATCTTGAGAATATATTATTGGTTTCTCTGGAAACTGAATTGCAATTATTTTTCTAATTTCTTGAACACAATTTCTCACTCATTCCATCACTCCCTCACTCATTCATTAATTTTTGAATAGCTACTGTATGCTAAGGATGAATGGTCACTCTCCTTCAGGCATTTGTTAATTTCATTTGTTATTTCCTTTCTTAGCTTCACATTAACACTATGGCCTCTCCAATGTAACCCCTTTTGGTCTCATGTGCTCTTCCTTAGTTTTATCAACATCTCTGTATGAATAATGCTCATTTAAAGTTTTTCTCATTCAATAATTTTTATTGAGAACCTATTATGTGTCAGGCATTGTGCCATTCTCTGTGGGTAGTGAGCAAAAAGATATATTTCCTGTCCTCAGAGAGTTTTTAAGTCCAGACTGAAAGATAAATATTAATAAAAGAATCACTAAAATAAATGTATAATTACAAAGTGTAAAACATGCTTCATAGGAAAATAAATTAGCAATGAGGGCATATAAAAGAAAACTGTGGGTAGAGGTCAGGTGGGGTCAGAGTTAGGGAAGGCTTTGCCAGGGAATGATTTTTAGCCTAAACTCTGAAGAGTAAGAATGGGTCCACTAAGCAAATCATGTCTCAGGTATAGTGGCAAACATGTGAAAAGACCACATGGTGTGAATAAGATGTGTTCAAGGAAGTGAAAATCTCTATGGTTGGTATGATTGGAACCAGAGATTGAGTGGTGGGGGTGGAGCAGAATTGGTAGGTGATGGGCACTCCATTCTTAATGATTTAGTTTTTATAAGACTGTAGTAGTCAGCTTGGGCTGCCATAATAAATGCCATAGATTGGATGGTTTAAACAGAAGAATTTTTTAAAAGATTTTATTTATTTATTTGGCAAAGAGAAAGAGAGAGAGAGAGAGAGAGAGCACAAGCAGGGGGGAGCATCAGGGAGAGAGGGAGGGAGAAGAAGGCTTTCCCCTGAGCAGGGAGCCCGATGCGAGGCTCTGTCCCAGGACCCTGGGATAATGACCTGAGCTGAAGGCAGACGCTTAACGACTGAGCCACCCAGGCACCCCAACTGAATTTTTTTCTCACAGTTCTGGGGGCTAGAAGTCTATGATCAGGATGCTGATATTGTCAGTCTGGTTATGGCAAAGGCTCTCTTCCTATCTTGCAGATGGCCACTTTCTCACTGTGCCTTCACATGGCAGGTATAAGGGGTAGGTGTAGGAGGAGGGGGAAAATAATTGCAATTCAGTTTCCAGAGAAACCAATAATAATAATATATATGTATATATATATATATACATATATATATATATACACACACACAAACACACCTTCCTTTTCTTATAAGGCCACAGTCCTACTGGATTAGGGTCCCATGCTTGTGACCTCATTTAAACTTAAGTACCTCGTAAAGACCCTATCTCCAGATATAATCACACAGCCAGCTAAGGTTTCAATATATGAATTTTGGGGGAATACAATTCAGTCCAGAGCAAAGAACACCAAAAAGTCATTGAACAATTTACACCAGTGAGATGACATGATCACATTTGACAAGGTAACTCCAGATGCAGGGCAGAGAATGGACATATGAGGGGCAAAAGAAGACATGGGGGCAAGTTAAGAAGCTTTTTGTAATAGTCCAGTTAAATTCTTACTGAGTAGTGCCATTGGAAAGAAGAGCAATTCAAGAGTGATACAGGAGATAAAATTGAGACGATATAGCAATTCATTTGAAATGAGAATGAAGTTGTAAGAGGTATCAGGGATGGTGTTTAGGGTTCCTAACTGTTCAACTGAAAGGGTGATGTAGCCATTCAAAGAGATAGGGGACCCTGGAAGAAATCTAAGTATGGAGGAAAGTTCATGAGTTCAGTGTGGTACATGGTAAATTTTAGGTACTTTTGAGACATTAAATATTGATATTTAGTACTCTTGTATCATGATGGTATTTTGTCGGAATAATTAATACTTAATGTTGAAACACCCTCTAAATACCAATGCTTTAACATAATAAAGCTTTTTGTTTATATCACAGCCTGATGTGGTACTCCTTGGATCCCTGAAATACTCCTTCAAGCAATGATTCAGGGAGCCAAGCTCCTTCCTTCTTGAGATGCTGTCTGAGATCACCATGGAAAGAAAAGAGAGAATATGAATGAGTGTACAGAGGATTTAATGGTTAGGCTTGGAAGTGGCATATATCACCCTTGCCTTATAACCCACCCAGGATGCAGTCACATGTCCTATCTAACTTCAAGGGATGCTGGGAAATATAGTCTTCCTACAGGTCAAGAGAGAGAAAATTGTATTAGTGAACATCTCTGTCACATTTCCTAGGTGCTAGTCACTTTACGTGTTTATTTCATCCTCACACCAAAGTAGATACTATATTATTATATCCACATAATAATTAAAAAAGCAAGATGTAGAGACTGAGTAACTTGCCAAGAGTCACATAGCAATAAGGGTGAACTTAGGATTTGAATCCAGATGGTCTAGTTTCAGGTGCCTTTTAACCAGTACATAACACTGCCTCTTAAAGTTGATATTGAATGGTAGCATGTATAGGTTGAAAATTCAAGAAGAAATTTTTGCTGAAGATAATTTTTGGGAGTCATTGGTATAACTTAGGGTTTCCCAACTTTAGCAGTGCTGAAATTTTGGGCCAGATGATTCTTTGTTGTGGGGGTTGTTCCATGTACTTTAGGATGCTTAACAGCATCTTTGACATCTGCCCACTAGATGCCAGTGGCACTCTTCCCAGTTGGGACAACCAAAAATGTCTCCAGACACTGCCAGTGTCCCCTGTGGAGAACTGCCCCTGGTTGAGAATCACTGTTATACCTGAACCATGAGTATGGATGAAATTATTCAAAGAAAAGGTATAAAGTGAAAAGAGACAAAGGGCTAAGACTAAGTCTTAATGAACTCCAAAATGTAATGGCTGAAAAGAAAGACGGGCCAGTAAAGGAAATTAAAGGAATAGCCACACAGGTGGAATCTCAAAAGGGTGAGAAAAATTGAAGGAAAAGAATGCTGCAAGGAGGAATGAGAGGTTGAGTGTTAAATGCTGCTGAGAGATCTTGTAAGAGAAAGACTGAAAAATGTCCATTAAATAGCACATGAATGTCACTGTTCACCTTAATAAGAGCTGTTTCAGTTGGTTAATAAGATAGAACCCAGAAGAAAGTGGACTGAAAAGCAGAAAGTGGGATGTAAGGAAATTGACACAGCAGGTATTGACAACCATTTGAAAAGGAAGGAGAAGCAGTAGTTGGAGGGTGTTGTGGAATCACAGGAGGAATTTTTTTTTTTTTTTTTTAACATGGAAGAGACTTGAGAGTTTCAAAGTTGATGTATGGTTCCAGTTCCTTGAGTTCCCATGAAACAAAGAATAATCAGTAGCATAGTGTAAGGTTCCTAAGAAAGCATAGGTGGACTCGAGGCTGGGGCGGAAACAGCCTCTCTCGTAACAAAAGAGATAGTGCCCAGGCTGATGCAATTTCCTGCAGACACTTTACATGTAGTATTTCTAAATAAGAACTCAGTATATTTCTCATAAAATCTGCAACTGCTCCTGGATTGCCTAATATTATTAATAATACTGCTATTCTCTTCCTAAACTATTCCATGAAACTCTTATCTTCTCTCTTCCTCATCCTGTTCCCAAAATCTATTCCATTACCAATTTTTATCGATTCTACTTTTGTAATGTGTCTTGAATCAGAGCCCTCCTTTTACTTCCATTGCCAAAAAATAAGTGCATATTTTTATTACTAGCCCAAGTGTCACTTCCTTCTTGAAACGTTCCTTATTTCTCCCAGCAAAATTCACAATATTAAAAGAAAAACAGAAGGAGAGACAATGTTAAAATAAAAATTATTAACTTACTATGTCATGAATCATACTCATGAGTGTCCTGTTACTCAAAACATTTTCTTTCTTTTTTTTTTTTTATGATCCTTAATAGGACCTTCCTTTTTTTCTTTTCTTATTATTAAAAAAATGTGTTGCAAATATTAGCTCTTACACACCTGGCTTAAGTACTGCACAGAAAACATGGCAACCCCAATGGTCAAATAAATGTGGATTCACTACCTCCACCAATCAGCCTTGTAGATGGTCTGATATTTAGAAATGCAATACATTTGGGGGAGGGAGTTGTCAAACTTCCTCTAAATTCTAGGTCACCCTACTCTTGTGGTGGACTGGATATTTAGAACACCAACAGATTAGTATTACCCAGAATCAAGCCAGCCCTTTAGTTGAAGCAATTGGAGGAACAAAAGGGTAAGATGACTTGGCTCTGGTTGACACCCACTAGAATTTGCTTTGATGTAAGATTTTTGTTTCCAATATAACATTTTGGTTGCCCACTACTAAGTTCCTAAAACCCTGGTTTGGCACAGTTTGTCTTTGCTCTTTCCAAACTTCACCACACTCCAGTGAAAACTGTAATTTTTACTACAAGGTTGAGGAGCTGATTGCGTATGGTCCGGAATTATTTCCCAATCCTCTCTCTTCTTCGGGTTATATTTACTCACCAAGAAGAAAGCTTCAGATTATCTGGAAAATCCATCCAGACGGGTCAGTTAGAGCAAACATGGACAGTTCGCGTTGATTCATTTCTCCTCCCACTTTCACATCCTCCAGCTGCAGAGGCAGCTTTCGCCCGCTGGTTCGCCAGGCACCTCGCACACCTGGCCCTATAGGCCACGCCCTCAGTTTCTCATCGCGCTGCGAAGCCGGGGCAAGAGCCAGCAGCCTCACGCTCCTCCCAGTCGCCCGCTCCACGCCCCGCCCCCCTAACGCGAGGCCATCTCCAGCCCCCTCGCGCCCTGGCCCCGCCCCCTCCAGCTCCCCAACGTCCTCGGCGTCTGGCCCGAGCCTGCGCCTGCGCGTGCGCCCTGAGGCCGAAGTAGGGGCGCGCGGTGACTGAAACGCGGAGAGCGGCGGGCGGTGCAGCCAATGGGAGGCGTCGCTGGCTAGCGGCTGGGAGGCGGGGCCTGCGCGGGTGTTAGGTTAGCGCGAGGCGTGACCTAGTTGACAGGCTCTGAGGTGCTGCTGTGGCGGCGGCCGCGGGGCTGAGGCTGTTGGGAGCCGAAGCCTAGCGCGGGCTGAGGGAAGAGGGCAGCGTTTGGCGAGTGGCGCGGGACCCGGAGCCTCTTGCACTTTTTTCCTCCCGAGTGCCCCCTCCCACCCCTCCCACTCCACACACACCCTGTTTGCCCGTGAGCCTGGGGAACTTGCAGCTTAAAGCCAGCCACCCCCACGGCAACATGTACCCCAGCAACAAGAAGAAAAAGGTGTGGAGAGAGGAGAAAGGTAACTGGCCCGTCGAGTCCTGGGGGTGCGGGGGGTGGGGGACGGGTGGGGGCGGGGGTCAGGGCTGTGTGTGCCGCGGCGCCCTCCGCCCGAGCTCCCGCCTCGCGCCCGCCCGGCCGGTGCCGCCTCCCTCGCGAGTCCGCGTGTACACACGCGCACACGCGCGCGCACACCAGCATGCACGCGCCGCCCCCGGGCACCTGCAGCTCGCGCACGTGTGGGCGCACGCCCCTCTGCTGCCTGCTGCGCCCGGTCACCTTCTCCCGATGCGGGGCTGCCTTCGCCTCGCTGGTGGCGTGGACCCCGCGCGGCGGTCCTCGGGAGCGGCACAACTTGCTCAGGTCCCCCACCCTCTCCTGGGACCGCAGCTGAGACTTTCGGACTCCCGGCCAGGTTGTCCCAGGGACACTTGCCCGCCGGCGAGCGCACAGGCTGCAGCTGCTGCTGCGCCTCCGCGCCCAGCTGACCCTCATCTATTCACTCCTCGCCTCTGTCCCCAACCCCCCAGCTGGCAGAGTGTCTGCACCTTCGGGCGTTTACCCCTTCTCTAGGCCCCTTCTTGCGCCGCAGTGTGACTTTTGAAACCTGGAACTCTAGGGGAAACTGAAAACGGGCGTGTTGTCCGTGAGGATAAGTGCTTTCAGAGAAGTCTGAATGGGCTTTTCTCTGCAGTGTGTTTCTGTGTATTTCATCGCCATTTGTAATCAGAAGTTGCTCAGTGTTAAGATTGTGAAACATACACTCTCGATGAATGAACTTACCCCTGAATTTTGTGCATATTAAAGCTTATCCAGATCGGCTAGATTGACAAGTGGCACTGATTCCTGTAAGACATAGAAGTGTGCCATCCAATCCTCTTTTCTTTCTCCCTCTCCTCTTTTTCTCTGGCATTATAGTTAGATAATATTCCGAAATAAAACTTTAGTCTCTGGCGTTTTTTCTTTCATTCTTTTCACACTTTTTTTTTCCTTTAGCTTTTTACAGAAATGTAGCAAAAAGTACTTGGCGTTGCTACTGCTATCATAGACTAAACCTGCGTATCCAGAGTGAGGTCGGGTGAGAGTAGTGCAGACCTCTCCTTAGTGTATCCCATCTTCTTCATATTAGAAGGATAATGGGGTGACTAGGTTGAGAGTTGATTTCCTTGGTAATAGCTCTTTAAAACCTGTAGATTGTTTTTGCAAGTCCTGGCCTTTATAAACACTAAGGATTTTTTTCAAATTAGTGGGAAGATGTAACATAATTGAACAATCCAATTAAAATGGCTTTGAAAATTTTGAGAGATTAGGTTGTATGTCATTTAATTATGTCTTAATGATTATGGGCTTATATAGAACTAAAAATTCTGTTGAGGATAATAGCCTGGTATATATAAAGTAGTGTAAGATAATCTTTGTTTTTGCAGTGGCAATTACTTTAGTTTCAACACACTTTCAACAACGATTTACCTTGTAAGCATTGAAAGATCATCTATGCCCATTTTTGTTGATGGTCTTGGAATGTTAGTTTTGTATTGATAAGGCAAAATAATGGAAATCATGGAGATTGTTTGCAATACATGATTCACTGATGAAATTTTGGTGATTACTTAAGTATTTTTCTGTCATAATAATGTTCCTAAAGTAACAATGTTATAATGGTTCCTTCATTTAACATCTACACATTTGGACTGTGGCAAGCAGGCGTTTTAGAATCTTTAACGTCTTGAGGTTGTTTTTTTTTTTTTTTTGCTTCTAACAATAGGGGAAAATGTAACCAAATTAATATTTTCTAAATAAAGAAGCAAATGCACAATTAAAGAGTGTATTTAACAAATTAAATTTGTCTTGTCTAAAACTAACCTATTTTTGCATGAAGTTTAATGTTAAAGAAAAACTTACTGTGATTTGAAGACTTTAGTGTATGTCTCAGTGTATCAGGATGTCTATTTTTAAATATTTAATATTTAAAAGTATGTATTGTACCATCAAGAAGGAACTAAGGATTTCTAGTACGGTAGTTAGTATTAAAGAAGCTGATGGGATGCATGACCTTTTTTCTTTCATTGCGCTGGTGAGGATGGTATTGTATTTTTGCGGCTGTTATTTAAATCTAAAGGAAGGCTTATCCACCTCATTGAAATGTCAGGGCATTCTGTAAACACACTTTAGCTCAGTATGCCATCTTATAGTAGGACTGTCTACTTATATGCTTGGTTCATAGAGCAGATTCATTGTAAAGGGGAAGCATTCTTTCAGGAAAAATTTTGTGTAATGCCAAAGAAACTGTATGATGTTTGTGGTCCTTAGCATGTTTCATTGTTTAAACAAATAACTGAGGACTTCTTAAGTCCACATATGTTAAACGTTATTGATGTATTATTTTGAGTCCTAATTGAAAACCACTTAATGTGTATTATAATTTTAAGTACTGGAACATAAATTATCTCTTTGTTTTATCTTATTTTCTTATTATTGATCTTGTTTCTTTTCTAAGAGTCCATACTTAAATGTTTAAATAAATGGAATGACTGAGGCCAGGTTGCATTTCTATATTACCTTCTGACATTTAGTAAAACTACAAATTGCTTCATAATCTCTCTCAACCTGATCACTGATATTGCAATATTTCTATATTAGTGATCTGGACTCTTTTAGTAGTGGTTTGATAAGTGCTAGTCATGCCTTTCCTCCTTTGTGTGAGTATTCCAAATTTACCATTTCCTTCAAGCTTCCTATTCCAGGACCCCCTCCTCCTATATTAAACACATGATATTTCCTTTTAATTCATTTAGCAAATACATGTCATATAACATGAACAGCCCTAACATCTGCCTCTGTCCATTTCTTTACATGTCCTTTCAGCTCTGTTCCTGTCTTAAAGGAAGCACTTTTCTTATGCTCTTTGTCTCATCTCCTGTATTCCTTGAAATCTTGTGCTATCATTTATTCCCTTTTGGGGATATTTAGTTTGTCATTGTCTTTAGGTTCCCCTCCTCAGCCTGTAATGATACTCGAGTCTCTACCCTAAAATACCCTTCTTTCCAAAGAGCTTCATCTTGGAGTTGCTGTTCTGACTTCTTTTTCTCAGTTCCCTTGTAGTCTCCTGGATCTCAACTATACTCTAGTGAAACTAATGTTCCTAAATTCACTCGGTAATAACAGTGATGGTACTAATGTAAAAAGAGTTACTATTTGAGTCCTGTTTGTGTGCCCAGCACTATGCTAAGTACAGTAGTCTTCCCTTATTTATGGGGATACGTTCCAGGGCCCCCAGTGGATGCTTAAGACTGCATATAGTACTGAATACTGTATATACTATATTTTTTTTCCTGTATATACATACCTATGATAAAGTTTAATTTATAAATTAGGCACAGTAACCTATTAACAGTAAGTGAATGTGGCATTTCAGAATATTTTATTATACTGTATTCATCCTTTTTGTGACGATGTGAGATGATAAAATGCCTGTGTGATGAGGTGAATGACATGACATAGGTTACTGCTGACTTTCTGACCGTATGTCAGAGGATCATCTTCTTCCCGACTGCAGTTGACTATGGGTAACTGCAACTATGGAAAGTAAAACTGCAGATAAGGGGGGACTACTGTACCTTACATGGGTTATCTCATTTAATTTTCACAACAACTCTATGAGGTAGTATACTGTAGGGTCAGGAGCTTTGAATATTTGTCTGGTTTGAATCTTGTACTGTTTACTAGCTGTGGAATGTTAGGTAAGTTATTCAACCTCTCTGGCTTAATTGCCTCATCTATAAATTGTGTGTAATACCTACCTCAAAAAGAAACTGAGACATAAAGAGATTAAAGATCACATAGATTTGCATGGTTTAGGATTAGAATCCAGACAGCTCTGTTAACCATTTTGCTCTCTTTTCAGTGCTGTTGGTGATCCAGTTGATAAAACCAGTGGGTTATTAAATTTTATTCTTCCTGATCTTCCTGTAGCAATTGACAGTATTTCCCATCTTCTACTTATTTTATTTTTAAATTTAAATTTAATTAACTAACATGTAGTATATTATTAGTTTCAAAGGTAGAGTTCATAATTTCTTATTATATAAGTCATATAATACCCGGTGCTCTTTACATCATGTGCCCTCCTTAATGTCCATCACCCAGTTACTCCATCCCCCCACTCTTCTTATTAAAACTTTTCTTTGCTGGTTTCTACATCATTGGCACTTTGATTCACCTTATACCTCCAGTGACATAAGTTTTATTTCATTTTTCCCTTCTTTGTGTCCACCCCGTAATTGTTTTTTTGAGGTTCGATCACATCCCTTACCTTTTCCTATGAACTTCCTTTAGGACCAGAAATTTTATTCATAATTTCCAAAATCTCTAGGCTAGCTAGATCTCTTTCTTGAATTCCAGGTTCTTCGATTTCAACTTAAATACCCTTTAGGCATCTTACATTCTGTACGGTGTTGACCCTTGAGTATTGTAGTGGTGTGATTTGATTATATCACATCTGGTTAAAATACCTTGTTATTATTACTTCCTAACGTGGCTGAAGAAAAGACAGTTCTAGCAGCAGGGGAAAATGTTGGCTTCCTGTTTCCTTTTCACTTGTACTTTAATTAATACCTTCTGCAGTTTATTTCTGGAAAGAATATTTTAAAGTGATTATTTTATGAGGGTTAGACACCTAAAACTAGTTACTAGCCTTAAATCCATTCACTTTGCAGTGTGCTAAAAGACAGTTGGAGAGAGTACAACTGTCAATCTCTTTACATTGTGGAGACCTTTGGTAAAGAATATGATACATGACAGCTGACATACAGAAAACACCTCATTTGAGGAGCTTTTCTGGTGAAGGTGACTAATAGTATAGGCTATAGTGTTTGACTACTGGAGCTATCTGACTGGATTTTAATGGAAAGCTTGCTTTGGACAGCTACTGAACTTTGATGTGCTTCATTTCCCTATCTACAAAATAAGAATAATACTACCAATTTTGCTGAATTGTTGGAAAGATGATTTCCATGAAATTACATGTGTGAAGTACCTGGCACTTACAGAGAACTTACTGTTCTTAATTCTAAGATGCATTTTTAAAAACATTTTTTATATTGTCATTAATTCTAAGATGCATTTTTACAGATATTTTAATCTTACCAAGATGTGTATTGAAAGTAGTGTTTAATTACCTCCACAAAGATATTATTAAATTGAAAGTTCACTTTATTGTTGATGGCATGTTTGAATTAAGGAAATACTGGGGTGGCTGCCTTTTTTGTGCTCTTAGCATTTGTACATACCCGTCTTAGGATTTTGTATTTTATTTATGTAGCTATTATTTTGTATATTATCCATTCCTGTTTTGTCTTATGAACTCCTCAAGGTTAAGGATCACCTTTGCACCTGCAGTGTATAAACATATTACTTGGCGCATAGTAGACTGTTAATATATGTTGATTGAAAGAGTTCATTTATTTCTTGGACTATCATAAGAGTCTTCCTCCTCAGGCTCTGACACGCCCCCCCCCCAAGTAATATGGTATTAACTTGACACTTTTTAACATTCAGTTATGGAGTCATTAGATTTTCATTTTGATGTTTCTCAAGCCCAACCAGTTCTTTGGTTTGTTTACATGATTAAGATCTAAATTATAAAATAATTCCTGAACTTAAAAGTTAAATACAAATGGAGATTCTGCTTTTATTTTGCAAGAACGTTTACTGAAGATGACCTTAGAGGAGAGACGCAAAGAATACATAAGGGACTATGTTCCCCTGAACACCATCTTATCGTGGAAGGAGGAGATGAAAGGCAAGAGCCAAAATGATGGTAAGTTTCTCAGAACATTTTTCAGGTAGATACTGTTCCCATTTATTTATGACTTCTGTGGGACAATTATTGGTAGAAATTAATAACTGGCATTCAGTAAAGAGATGACATTTTTGATATTTGAAGTAATTGCTTGGTTGTCATTTAATTATTTTTAGCAATCTATTGTGTGTTATTTAAACTTAGGAAATTATATTAACATAATTCATATTATGATATAATGGTCCGCATTTATATTATGGCATTTTTAAAAACTGTTCTGCAGTTGTTCTTGGAGCAAATAGTATTAAAGATTTGGTGCTTTGGTGGTGTAGCCCTTTGAGTTTATTTTGATTAGGTTCATTTATTTCTTCAAGTTTCTTCAAGTTATTCTAAGGATTGGATACAGTTGAAAGTATATTAGGAAGAATAGAGAAAAACATTTCCCGTAGTTTTAGAGAAGAATATGTATTTTGTATGGTGTGGTATTATATCTGCATGTAAAATATTCGTATGACAAAATTTACTCTCAGAGTCTTTATGATTTAATAAGAGTCTAGATTGTTTGAGTAAAGATATGTGTTAGCATATAAGTAAAATTTTAAGTATTGAAAAGTTACCTGGAAAAAATTCTAAAAAACATGATAGATTTAATGGATGCTTATTATGCTTACCTCCGAACTAGCACTCATTGGTGTTAATGGTCTGGATGTGAAGCTTGGAAGAAATAGGGTGTTTTTTAGGATACTTAACAAATGAGAAAGAAAGGTAACTTTATGAAAGGGACTTGGAAAATGCTAATTTCGCAGGTTCTGGTCTTAGACTGATGGAACTATATAGGATACTAAGGGTTCAGAACAAGAAGATTAATATGGAATTCCTGTGGACAAATCTGTGGGAAACAGCAGCTCAATTAGGCTTTGGTGTCTGGGAAGAGAACACATTTACCAGAGTGTTTGCATTTTAGACAGAATTTTTATTTTTCTTTGCTTTGCTTGAAAACGTATGTGAACTTGGGCAAGTGGGGGTAGTAGTTCTACCTCATGTTCTAATGGGGTCATTGGACAAACTGATTGGGACATACACATCTAACCTTCTTGCCCAGGGTTTTCAGTAAATGCAAGCTGTTTTAGTAATGATCTAATTAAGACCTCACTCATTGAAAGAGAGGGTAGTGCTATGTAATGAAAAGAATATAGAACTAGAGAGCAAAAGGACAGAATTTGGGCCTTGATTGATCTAAGACCATAAGCCTTTTCATGTTTGGATCTCAGTTATTTCTTCTTTTTTAATAAGACACTGGTATCAAATACTTCGGCACCAGTTTTTTTTATGGCTAGTAAATCTTTTTCCAGTACTTCAGTCATCTGATTTTCTTTCTTAGTTGCTGTTTTAACTGGTCACTCTTCTTTTAAAACAATTTTTGCCTCTCAGAAAGAGGTAGATTCCTGTTGCTGTTAAAACAATTGACAAAGCAGTAGAGATACCCAGGTTGTATTGCCCAGTGTTGGTTTGCTCACCTCTGCATAAAAGCTTGGCCTTTATGTTGGCTGCTTCTATTTGAATATACACATAACAGTGTAGGGTTGAACTGGGTTATCAGAGAACTCACAGTTGGATGTTTTCAGAGATATCACACACCAAAATATGTCCCTTAAATCAGAAAAATACATTGAATAACACCTGCCATTGTTATTCCATAACAGGATCCTATGTATTTACTCCTGTGTCCCAATATGAGCTTTATAAGTGGTTACAGCTGCTCTATGTATTTCACTTTTTTCCTTCATGCTTTTTTGAACTGAAAGTTTTCCATGGGGAGTGAGGTGTGATCAAAATTATATTTCTGTTGAACCTGTTTTATTCTTTCTATCTAATGTTACTTGCTCCCCTGTTGTGACCTAGAAATTAGTTGACTAGCCTCTTCTTTTTTTCATGAAACAGAATGGCTCATTCGACAAGTAAGATCTATTTATTTCTTTATATAACATATATCTTTCAAAAGTGCTTTTTCCAGTGTTCCCTATCCAGTGTGCAGTTACACTAAAATATTAGCAAAGAGAGTTTTAGTATTTAACAGTTTGAAAGATCCTTTAAGAATATAAATTAAAAAAATAATAAAGGACGATATATTTTATTTTGAAATGTTTAAGCCACTGCTTATAAATGTATATGTATATAAGTAGGTTTGGATTTTTATAATATCTAAATTTTTTAGGTGTCAGATTTCAAACTAAGTCTTAAAAGGAGTCTATAATTCTTTGTCCTATATTTTCTGATTTGTAGGACATGAACAGTATTTATTGGGCTTGCACAATATTCCAATTTCAAGTGTTGTGGTTTATTATTATTATTTACATTTTTATAGAGGGACATTTTGGCCTTGATATCCAGGATTACATAGAAAGTTCTCAAGCTATTGTTTTTAATTTTTTTCTTTCTTTGCTCAGTTTTGCTTTACTTTAATTAAATGCTTTTTTGTTATTATGTTGTAGTAGAAAGTTAAATAAACTAGGGAGTAGTTGAATGTGTTTGTCATAATTTTGATTTTAAGGCCTCCTAAAATAGGAAACCAAAAATTGCCAAATATAAAATCCCTGTTTGTGTAGAAAGGAGGAGGTAGGGAGATGATCACCAAAAAAACCAAACAAACAACAACCCCCCCCAATAACCTGCTTCCTTATTGTTCATGTTCATATTTGTTAACTGCTATTGGCAAATCTCTGAATTATGTGCTTCACTTAATAATTCTCTTTCATTTGTCAGTTGCTTTATTGAAGGTTATTTTAAAATGCTTGTCTCTTATTATACCATGTCTCAACACCTGCGATAGTGCCTCATGGGTAGGTGAGCACAATTAGTATGTTAAATAAGAACACCTCAGAGGTTAACCATCTATGAAGGAGAGTTCTGTATTTTTTTTTCAAACTTTAAAATGAGCATTTAAAAACATATATAAAAATGGGAGTAGTGTAATGAACCTTTATACACCAATCACCCTGTTAAATCATGGTTAATGATTTAACAATCAACAGTTAAAACATGACCAATTTTATTTCATTTATACCAGTACTTCCCACACCTTTTTACCAAATTATTTTGAAGCAATTCCTATATGTCATATCAATTTTATCTGTAAATAAATGTGTGCATATATCTCTAAAAGATAGGGACATATTTTTTGTTTTTTTTTTTACTATAACCACAACACTCATCACTCCTCAGTTAATAATTCTTTAATGTAATTAAATATCCAATTAGTAGTAAAATTTTTACAATTGTCTCGTAAGGATTTTGTTTTTTTTTAATACAGATTTGCTTGAGTTAAGATCTAAACATGGTTTGTTCACATATTGCATTTAATATATTTCTACGTCTCTTTTAATGTATAGTTCCTTTTCTCTCTATCCTCCCTCTCGCCCCCTGTAATTTATTTGATAAAGTAGGTTATTTGTCTTACAGAAATTTTCACATTTTGGATATTGCTGATTGCATCTTTGTAGTGTCATTTAACATGTTCCTCTGTCCACAGTGTTTCTTATGAGCTGGTAGTTCCAGAGGCTTGATTAGACTTGGGTTTAATTTTTTTTTTTTAAAGAATACTTTAGAGATTATTATACCTTCTTTTGCATAATATCACAAGGCACATAATGTTTGGTTACCTCTCTATATTGATAAGACTGATCACTAGGTTCAAGTATTGCCAGCCTAATTTATCCATTGGAAAGTTCCCTATCAGCTTTTCACCTAATGATTTTCACAGCCATTGATGATCATTGCTTCGATCCATTATTTTATTAGAGGTTGCAAAATGGTCTATTCTGATTTTATCATTCCTTCTTCATTTATTATTTGGACTGCTATAAAGAACTTTCTCTTATCAACTTTTGTTTCCATGTAATACAACTTATACAGAAAAGTCAGAATAAATGCTAAACTCCCTTTTATTTACCAGTTTTTAAATTGAGTTGGTTTCCTGAAATCTTCCAAAAGGAATCAAAAAGTTCTTTTTTAAATTTTTTAAATTTATTTTATTTTATTTTTTAAATATTTGTTTGACAGAGACACAGCGAGAGAGGGAACCCAGGGAGTTGGGGGAGTTGAGCAGGGAGCCCAGTGTGGGCCTTGATCCCAGGACCCTGGGATCATGACCTGAGCTGAAGGCAGACACTTAACGACTGAGCCACCCAGGCACCTCATCATTTTTTTAACTTATTTTAGAGAGAGAGAGAGAGAGAGAGAGAGAGAGAGTGTGTGTGTGTGTGTGTGTGAATGAGCAGCAGGAGGGACAGAGGAAGGGGGAAAGAGAATCTCCAGCAGACTCCATGCTGATTGCAAAGCCTGATGCAGGGCTGGATCTCACCATCCTGAGATCATGACTTGAGCTGAAATCAAGTGTTGGATGCTCAACTGACTGAGCCATCCAGACACCCCTCATTTTAAGTTTTGACTGTCATTTTGAAACTCTGTCTCCCTGCCACATATGTATATTAAGTGGGAGTACCTCAATGGTTAACAGTCTACAAAGGTTGTGCATTTGTGTATGTGCATTTTTAAAGTAGAGCTCTCACATAAAAACATACAATTACTAAATTATAGTCTTAGGGTGTAGTAGGAAGGCAAATACAGCTATATAGATACATGGATGTATGGATGGATATGATAGAAAAAGGGCATTGTTTTCTTTGTAGGGGTGAAAGTTCTCAGGTTTAAATTGTATGTGTTATGTTCTCCTTTGCTACTTCCAACCTAAAGTTCTTCTAAAACCCCACTCAAAGAAGCATTGTTGTTACTTTCTTTGGATGGAGCAGAGGATTGGCAAAGACTCTGCTATGCTTATGCTAATTTTGTATTACTAGTTATAGTTAGTATCAGGGAAAAGAGCTACAGCTTTAAGTTTAGATGTTTGAGGCATTACTTTTAATGTTTACATGGAATAGCAAAGGAGGAAAAATATAGTAAATTATGAAGATGAGTTAGATGAAAAATACGGAATTATTTTACTCAGGTATGACAGATTT